AGTCAGTTTTGTTTTGTCCGAACTATGGCCCCGTGGAGTTATTGGCCCTCGAGCGCTCTAACGAAACGGTCCAACTGATCATAGGCGCAGCAAATTCAAGTAATTCTACTCTCACTCCGTAACCTCACTCACATCACATTTCATTTCATTGTTACACACACACTCGCAATTTGCCAAAGGGTCTGTGAAGGCTAACAGCGTGCTTTAAAAATCTGCTAATACGGCTTTTCAGAAATCCCCTAAAACTTGCATTATACTGTAAAAGTAGGGGTAGAAATCTGAACTACACGACTGAACCACCGAACGACTACTGGCAGGAATCATTATACTTATCTTTTTTTTCATATTTTTAACAATTTTAGTGCTTTAAATTGGAATTGGACTGCGAAAATCAAGTTTACTATATGGATTGTAGTTACGTTTTCTTTTGACGTTGCCATTTTAAAGGTCTTATATCACGCAAAATTGATGCTTGTGAGCTTTATAATCCTTTATTTTTAGCCTGTCTACATCTCCAAAGCTCTAAATGCTCTGTTCCTGAAGCGGTAGTTTTCAAGTTAACAGCTACATTACATTACAAATTATACTTTAACGTTATAACATAGATCAGAAAATTGCATAAAATGAGCTCTTTAAGAAATCTCTAGTTGCTAAAGCTTGCATTATACTGTTAAACTAGAAATAGTAATCTGAAATCACATTACTGAACCTTTTTTCAAGAACTATTGGCAAGAATTTTTATGCAGAGAAAAAGAAAAAGAGGAAAAAATTAACCGTAACACTTTATTTGGTTAATTTGTCATTAATTTGTGTTTATTCAGCGCTTATTAATGTCTGATTCCCCATGAGTTTATTCTGCTTTTAGTTAGACATTTACAAACACTTTTCTGTTAATATATTCCTTATTACTGCTTATTAATACGATACTAGACCGTTTTTGTCCATGAATTGTTTTGTACAACTACTTATTCATATATGAACTATTAATCTGCATGTCACAATACATGAATTGTGACATGCAGAAGTGTGAAGTGTGAAGAAGAGACCACTTTAAATAGGGACCATATTTTCTTTTTTTTTTTTTTTTTTTTTTTAATAACAATGTTTTTATTTTATTTTTTATTTATTTTATTTTATTTTTTTTTTTTTTTACATTAGCAAGTATAATTACAATTTATTTGCCAGTCGTGTAAATAAAAAAAAAAACAGAAAACAAAAACAAGGACAGATCAACCCTCACATTTAGAAAATTAATTTATAGCCATCCATCCATATTTTTTTCCCCCCAGCCTAAATATAAATATATATAAACATGTATACATACATACACACACATATATATATACAAAATATAAAATGTATACATAAAAATAAAAAATAAATAAAAGGTTTATAGAGTAATCTCAGTCATCCTCAGCACCATCTGTCAAATTAAGATTCCAGGGACCATATTTCATTTTAATTTGTGTCAAACTTGTCATTTATTAACTATGATCAAAACATCACTTTAGAATGGGGAACATATTCAGAGATTAATGACTTAATTCATCACTATTAACACCTAATAGAGAGGGTTTTTTTTTTATATTGTATTATTATAAAAGTAAGCAAAATTTTTTAAGTGCAAATAAGTAAAATCTACATTTGCGGTGTTACTTGTCCTTAAGAATGCACTTATTACCAAAAGCTTATTAGAATCATAATTCATGGACAAAAATGGCCTAGTATTGCACTAATAAGTAGTAATAAAGAGTGTATTACAGTCGTCCCTCACTATAACACGGTTCATCTTTTGTGGTCTCGCTTTTTCGCAGATTTTTTTTGTGCAATTTTGCATGCTGCTCCTGATTGGCTAAGGGACTGTAGACCATCGTCAATCAGTCTCCCCCGTGCCGTGTCTCCTGTACAGTACAGAATGCGTTCAGCTTGACAGATTTACATAAATGTTCATATGTGTTTGTAATGTGCTGTAGTTTTCTCCCCGACAAAAACCCCACTCTGCACTGACAAAGGCTCCTGCAGTCGCACCCAAAAGAGAAGTAGAAGTAGAGGAAGATGCAAACCATCGCACAAAAAGTTGGATTTCTGGACACGTTGAAGGAAGATAGAAGTTGTAGTGCGCCATTACGGAATAAATTAATCTTCGGTTCGTTACGTAAAGAAGGAGGAAAATAACAAAAGGTCGACAGCAGCGATAAGTTTTAAGAAGGTTGCAAAAAGTGCTGTAAATATCCTGTCTGAGAAAAGTGTTTTAAGTGTGTAGTGAGGGGTTTTACAGCTTTAAAACATACATAATAATAAAGCTGACTACTTCGAGGGTTTCACCTATTGCGGGTTATTTTTAGAACGTAACCTCCGCGATAAACGAGGGTCCACAGTAACAGAAAAGTGTTTGTAAATGTCTAACTAACAGCAGAATAATCTTATGGGGAATTAGACATTAATAAGGGCTGAATAAATACAAATTAATGACAAATTAACCATCTACAACTGTGCTCATTAGCAAGTCGTTAGATGTTAATAAGTGTACCCTAAAATAAAGTGTTACCAAATACACGATAATAAATATTTTTTCTGTAGTTTTATCCTCCATTAATCTCCCCGTGTCCCAAAAAAACACCGTGCAGTTTCAGTTTGAACTCATCGACGCGCATTTCTGGTTTATTTGACCTTTCGTTGCCCTGGAAACGCCCAAACAAGACCGCAAGCAAAGCGAGCGTCTGTTTCGTGTGAATGCGTCCGGCGCATTATCTCAGTCACAATGGTCCTCAAATGCTCCGCCGGACTGAGACTCGAATCAAAAGAACAGCTCTCCCCCACACCGCACATTAGCCGGTGTCGAGTTCAAGTTTAATGAATCAAAACACGGCTCGGTTCTTTGTCCGAACGCGGAATAAAACGCGGCGATTTCACAATATCTTTCTCCCCTCAAAGCTTTTCTGTCGTCTTTATAGCGGCCAGGTTGATAATAAAATGGAAGCAGTGTATTCAAAACATGCCCATTCAAGTCCACACAAAAAACATATTCTGTTTCTTATTGAGTCATTCCCATTTCCATAACAGAATCCTCTATTGATACTTCGCAGCGGAGGTCGGCAACATTCCCCCGGGGGTGTGATGCTAACTTTAGGCACTGCTCTGTCTGAAGCTCTATTAGTCAAATCAGACTTTAAAGGTGAACTGTGTCATTCTTCGGTTTTGGGAGTCCGTCACCACAATATCCAAATCTCTCGGTACGATATTTATTGCGATAATATTTGCTTTTAAAATACCTTAACAAGATTTCGGTGTGAATTATTTCCGTCTTAATCCCAAGAATTTAAGTTAAAAAAACATAATTCTTTATGTTTTCTGTACTGAAATGATTAGGGGTGTAACCATAACCGAAATATCCTGATATCATATCGTCAAAGTTGTCACAATAATATCGTGGACCATCACAATATATCGAATTACAAGTCTCTTTGCGTGAATTAAGAGTTATGGTGCAGTAATAGAGAAAAAAAGACAGAGGGAACTACATAGACCATGATCCTTTGCTCCAGTTCAGTGCAGACTACAAGAAAAAATAACAGTTCTAAACACTTTTAAATCTTGTCAAGGTGTTTTAAGAGGAAAAAGTAGTATATTAACTAGGGCTGGGTGTCATTAAGAAGTTGCCGATACGATACATACCTCGATACAGTGCACTTTTGATCCGATACAATATATTTGAAATCGATTCGATACGGTTCAATAAAAAATAAAGGCTAAATCATGGCTGTGACACTTAAAGTCTTTGTTAAACCACTTCTTGTGCAAAATTCGTATGAAACACAAACATTTTAATCATCAAAACAGTGAAAATGTCAAATAAACAAGTTTCCTTCCACTAAACAAACAACAAAACTGTAGCTGTAACAAAATAATTTAGTAAAATATACCAAAAAATACTCTTGGTGATATATAGATACAGCAACCTATGATATCGATACTGTATCATCGCATTAAACGATACGATATGTCAATATTTCAATATTTTTGCACACCCCTAATATTAACAGTTTTAGCTGTTTAGCCTCCACAAAATATCGCAATAAATATCGTACCGTGAGTTGTATATCGTGAAAATATCGTACTGAGAGATTTGGATATTGTTACATCTCTAATCGTGAGCCTCCCCACCATATCGAGAGCTTTCCCACGATATCGCAATAAATATCGTTCCATGAGGTTCATACCGTGACGATATTGTATCATGAGACTTGGATATCGTTACACCGTTAGAAATGAATCATGGGATATGTAGTTCTCTATATTTATAAGCTCAAGCAAAGGAACTTGTAATTCGATATACTGTGATGATCCACGATATTATTGTGAGACTTCTGACGATACGATATCACGATATTTCGGTTATTGTTACATCCCTAGTAATGTCATCGCTCTGCTTCAAATGTTCCACAATTAAACAGATTTACATTACATTTATTCAATTACAGGTGGTTTTATAGCTCAAAAACACACAAAAAACCAAGCATTTTGACTGTGAGCGGGGCTGCTTCTCCACAGATCTGACCTGTAACTTGTCTCTTTCACAATGCACGGCAACCCACAACTTGATGGTTTGGTCTCCGTGAAGATCGAAAGGTTTAATGCCACACTGTGAAACATTCCAGACAAAACAATAACGTCACAAACCGTTTTTTCTCTTTCTTCTTGTTGAAAATCAAACTCCTAAAGACTCTTAAAACTCTGCTGTTTAAATCCATTTTGTTTGTTTTTATTCTCCAAACATTGTCGACGGTGTTCAGTAATGTGTGCATTGTGTCGCCATGGTAACATTAGAGATTAGAGATTTCATAATATCTTCCTCTGCTCGAAGCTTTTGGGCCTTCTTCAAAACATGTCCGTTCAAGTCCATACAAAAAAACATTATATTACACTTTGAAGCATTTCCACACCTGAGAAATGGTGCTATCATTTTTGTACTTTTTTTTTTTTTTTTTTTACGTTTTCAGGCTGGGTATATCCGAATAGACGGAAGTGTCCCATCTTCAGAGAGAATTCAACTTGTGCACAAATTTCAGAGCGATCCAGCAACAAGAGTGGCCATCCTCAGTATCCAAGCAGCAGGACAGGTACGCACGGGCTGGTGAAGGATCAGAAACTGTGAGACCGTTATCATCTTCTGAACGGTAAAACGTCCTAAAATGTTCTATGAAAGATGACGCCCATGAATAAACACTGCATTATAATGTGAAGTTTATTTGTTTATTTATCAGGGACAATGCACATACAAACACTGAGCTACACAAAGAGGTCATATGTTTGTTGCAAAGTTTTAAAGAATGTAAAGGATTTGTAGAATGACCTGTGTGTCCTCAAATCAAATATAGCTTTTACTGATAATAAATCTCATGCTGATTTATTCTTAATTACAAAACACATTGGACATGATGCAGGCCAAGCTGATTATGTTATGTATATGTTATGTATGTTGGTGTTTCTCAAGATAATTATCCAATCAGAAAGCAGAATGAGCCTCACGTGACTCTCTCATTTGGGTTATTAATTAATTAGTTAATCATTGCATTTATATAACGCCTTTCAAGATACTCAAAGCGCTTTACAGTTGGGTCTGGTCAAGCAGTAACGGAGGGAAACAGGGGCAGATTTTTTACATTCAAATGTCTCTTATTCAGAAACTAGAGGGACTATTGAAATAAGTAAAGTATCAGAATGTAGGAAAGAGTTACACTCCAACAGGGTCAAGTTAAACCTGTGAGATTCTTTCAAGTTGTTGACAAAAAATTTAAAAACTCATGTCGGTAACGGAGGGAATGAAATATGCAGCACTTTTTGGGCAATAAATCTAAACAGTGATAACTCTTGGTTCTCACTTACATATCCTTAACAAACTGGTTTGAATATTTGCTTCATATAGTTTTCTACCATATGGTACAAGATTAGGTTGAAAAACCTCTTACTGTTTGAGTAATGAGATTTTTTATTAAGAAAGTTCATGGTAACGGAGGGAAAAGTAACGGAGGGAAAATTGTACAAGTAAGTAGAAGGTGCAGGATTTAGCATAATTTGTCAGCTTTTTTCTTCCGAATACTTTAATAATAGGAAACTATTTCTATAAAATATGTCAGTCCTTCCAAGCAAATTTTTATCATTTTAAATACTTAAAAAAAAAAATCATGTACCTTCATCAACAGTTCAAAGATGGAATAACACAAGATATGATGAAATACATCCATTTATTTACATGATTTGCAGGTCTGTGAAATTTGGGAAATATTTTTTGTTCCATGTTTCATACATGGTCTGTTTAAAACATATGTAACATTAGAACCAAAAATGATACAGAAAAAAGGTCAACAGTTTCATAAACTAGAGTACATATGTATCTGTTGAATACATTTTTATATCAGATGCATTAACTTGAATTTTTGGCCTTGCTGTTTACTTCTGCTTGACCAGGCCCAGTTCATTATTCATTCATTCAACACTCAGTGGTGCTGTGACACTACTGTAGCCACAAGTGCTGCCAATCTGCGCCATCGCCCCCTCTGACCACCACCATCACTCACACACACACCACTTTTATACTAGGCGATGTGGGTGAAGTGTCTTGCCTAAGGACACAACTACATTTTTTTGACTGGCTTTTCCCAGTGGTCTCCCATCCAAGTACTAACCAGGACCGGCCTTGTTTAGTTTCTGAGATCGGGGTACGGCCAGTTTCAATGCTGTAATCCAGTTGGTCTAAACCTAAAAGGACTCTCTCTGATCTGAATCTTCACTACCTAAACCCCACAGCATTGATCTTAACATGGAATTCGATTAAATGAGTACTGTATTTTCCGGGCTATTAGACGCGCTCTTTAGTCTCTAACCGCATCAAAAAACAGCCGCGCGCCTCGCAATCCAGAGCGCCCTATACACGAATTCCACTCGGGTGTCCCAGTACGACTTCAGTAAACTACAAAGCCGCACCACCCGCAGCGCACGTAAACACACATGGAGCAGACAGCGACCGTACAGCGAAAAACACCCACAGACACACTCATCACTCCACGAGGACGAGGAATGGAAAGGAGGAACGAACCGAAAAAGCGAGTCCAAGGTGCCTCTCTGAGCCACAACTGAACAACCGAGTCACTGCGAACACGCCGACAATCCGTTGGTCCCAGACAGCACCCTCCCTACACGCCACAACTGAACAAAGCCCAGAGTCACCGTGAACGACACAAACAAACAAAGTCCCACTGACTCATCCAACTGTTGTGTTTCGTTTAACGTCTGGTGTGGTTTATTTGTGAAAAAAGATCGAAAATAGACCATTCTATGACAGTGCGCCTTATAATCCAGAGCGCCTAATAGTGCGGAAAATACGGTACTTATTTTGATTTATTGGCTTACATTTTGGACTTTTTTTTTGGTTGATTCGTTTTGGATTTTGAAAAAAGGAGTGGGAAGAAGAAAACTTATTTATTTTGACTTATTGGCTCATATTTTGGACTTATTTTGACCTCAAGAGCTCCTTATACAAAATATCAATCCTGGGCCAAGACACATTTCGCTCAAATACGTGAGAAAACATCAGGTACATGGCATTAAACTTTACCCCAGAGCGCCTAATAGTCCATAAAATACAGTATACCAAATAACAGTATTTCGGTAAATGTTAAATGTTCTCATTTTTATACAGCGCTTTTCCATCTTCAGTGCACTCAAAGCGCTTTACATCAAGGAGTCACTCACCCATTCATGCACACATTTATACACTAATGTATGCAGACGCTGGTTGTGAAGTGTCTTGGCCAAGGACACAACAACAGCACTCATCTGTAGGAACTTCGTGATTCTGTCGGGACAAGGATTTGAACCACTAACCTTCGGATCAGTGGACAAATACTCGATCAACTGAGCTACTCTGACTAGGGCTGAGTATCATTAAGAAGTTGCCGATACGATACATACCTCGATACATAGGCCACGATACGATACATATCTCCATACAGTGCACTTTCGATTCGATATGATATATTTCAAATCGATTCGATACAGTTCAATAAAAATAAAGGTTAAATCATGGCTGTGATACTAAAAGTCTTTGTTAAACCACTTCTTGTACAAAGTTCATATGAAACACAAACATTTTAATTAGGGGTGTCAAATGATCGCGTTAATTGCGATTCATTAATTACAGTCATATTTAGCACGTTATGTTTTTTAATCGCGTTAATCTCATTTTTAATCTCTAACTTTAGTGTTTCTGTATGTGAGTTTCTTTATTATAAAACCTGTTTTTATGTGTTGTTGGGACAACAACACACACACACACAAAAACACATTTATAATTTTTTTTATTTCGGTAATTCCACTCATTGCCGGAAACCCACACAAAACGCGCGCAGTAAGAGCGACGTAAACGTCATGTTAAAGTTGGTGGCGTCAGTCGCACAATGGACGAGGTCGAAGAGCCAGTAGAACAGAGGCAGCAGTGCACAGGTAAAAACACATTCGTGTCTTGGAAATTATTCTCCCAACGTGAAATATAAAAGAAAATAAAAAATATAATATCGCCTGAAAACAACCTGCATAGACTCATGATGTCTGCACTACTGTCCTATAGTGACCTGCCACATGAGGGGACACGCACACAAACACACACAAACACACACAAACACACACAAACAAACACACAAACACACACAAACAAACACAAACACACACAAACAAACACACACCTTCATCATCGTCATCAACCTGAGAACGCGCGGACCATGTTTCCTTCCGTAGTTACTGCGCGGACACCGACGTGCTCCCGTGAGCCGCGTGTGGATCGTGTTTTCTCGTGTACGCTGCGTAAACCGCGCTTCCTCCTGTGAGCCTCTAAACCAGAACTAACACCAAGACTAAAACCAGGACTAAACCAGGTCTAAACCAGGACTAAACCAGGACTAAACCAGGACTAAACCAGGTCTAAACCAGGACTAAAACCAGAACTAAACCAGAACTAAACCAGAACTAAAACCAGGTCTAAACCAGGTCTAAACCAGACTAAACCAGGACTAAACCAGAACTAAAAACCAGAACTAAAACCAGAACTAAAACCAGGTCTAAACCAGGACTAAACCAGGACTAACACCAGGACTAACACCAGGACTAAACCAGGTCTAAACCAGGACTAAAACCAGTGATCTCGTATATAAAACATTTCTCTATCAATAATATTTTTAAATGGTTAAGGAAAGACTGGACTTTTTATTGTCTTTAAGTCGACAAAAGTTATTATGTTCAGATTTCCTCGTCTTTGCTACTTTACAACAAACAGTTTCTTATTCATGGAGACTTGGGCTCAACAGCCAAATTGGAGAGATTTGTTAAACAATAAATGACTTTATAAAGTCACTTTTTTAAATCTATATCAGTCTTTTGATCTGCCACAATAATGTAATAATTAATGTAAATGAAAATACCTCAAATTGAAGGCTTTTCTCAGCAATTTTTAGGTGAGATTAAAATGAGATTAATTAGATTAATTAATTACAGATCATAATTAATTAATCTCTCAATTTTTTTAATCGCATGACAGCACTAATTTTAATCCTCAAAACGGTGTCAAAATGTCAAATGTGTCGCATAAATGAGTTTCCTTTTCACTCCACACGCAACAAAACTGTAGCACTGTAACAAAATAATTTAGTAAACCATGTAAAAAATACTCTTGGTGATATATCGATACAGTAGCCCACGATATCGATACTGTATCATCACATTAAACGATACGATATAGCGATATTCTGATATTTTTGCACACCCCTAACTCTGACCCAATCAAAAGCGCCAAAAATGTGCTAAAACATGATGGTTGAGGTTCAAGTAGGACACAACAGCCTCACAACCCTTATGTTTGTTGTTTTTATTTTATATTATTATAGATGACAACTCAATATCAAAGTTGCCTCCGTTTAATCATGTCTCCCACCTCTTTCTGTCTTTAACCCCACCCTGTCTGTCCTCTTCAGGGTCTGACCTTCACGGCGGCGTCCCACGTGGTCTTCGCCGAGCTCTACTGGAACCCGGGTCACATGAAGCAGGCGGAGGACCGGGCGCACCGCATCGGCCAGACCTGCTCCGTCAACGTCCACTACCTGATCGCCAAGGGAACGTTCGACACCGTGATGTGGGGCATGCTCAACAGGAAGGTCAGGGAGGTTTAAGAAAGGGGCGCTGTGGCACTTTTCTGGGTGGAGGGTTTGCCATTTGGTTGTTTCCGTGGCGATGTAAATGCTGAATATGAAGGTCAGCGCAAACAGATGAGAGCGGTTTAAAGACACGCTGTAATTTTCCTGATGGACGGATTATTTTTTTTATGATGCGGACAGAGACTTTGAATTAAAAAAAAAAGATATGACTGAGTTTTTGCCACTTGCTTGTCTCCGTGGAGATTTTAAGGCTCCACATGAAGGTCAGAGAAAACTGGATAGAAGAGTTTAAATGAATGTGCACTATGTCACTTTTTCTGATGGAGTCCAGCGCCGGCTCGTCTCCATGGAGATGGTTTTGCCTTTCCTGGACTGTCCCACAAGATAAACCTTTTTGTCTTGGATATATTCTGATAAATTAGTTTAGCTTATACTTCTACCTTGCATTAAAGGTTGTATGGAGGATTTTTTTTTTAGTTTCAAATTGTCAATGAAAGTTTAAAATACCATTACAGAGATGCAGCAGCCTTGGAATTATGATGACCAAAAAAAAAAAGAATGAAAATCTATCAACTGTGGACGTGTTGCGGCCAGATAAACATCAGTCAGTAGAAAACGAGGCTGCCTCATTTTCTATTGGCTGTCAGGTCGTCAATCAAACTCCCTACGTTTCTAGTGTAACTGACTCGTCGGGATGCAGGGATCACGTGGTTTATGCAGCGGTTCTTAGAGGCTTTTTCAAACTGTAGCTTCCTCACATTTCTCACAAAATTTGTCGCGACGGCGGAGGAGGATCCACGACCAGTTCGCCGCAAAAGAAAGTCGGTTTTTGAGGTCGCTGAAAGACGAAGAGAAGGGGAAAAGGAGCGAAGACAAACCGAGGTGATTCTCAGAGATTCCTTCCAGTGATTGCGCGAATGAAGCGGACGAAGGGTCTAAAAACTGACGCGTCGGTCGATAAATTATTTCTAGACAGGTCATTTCAACAGTAATTCTGAACGGGCACTGGCTGTAAAAAAAAAACGTGATTTCTAGAGTAAAGAGGCGGGAGGAGATGTTTCTACTGAGGGAGCTGTGGAGGATGAAGGTGGTGTCACGCATGCACAACATTTGTAAAAGAACTGTCGCTGTATTTCTCTTCCCTTAAAAAAATCCTCTATACAACCTTTAATTTAGTTTCTGTAAACGTGGCAGTTCAAATTCCAGCTCGTGCATTCTTTCATTGCTTCTTTGGGCAAGGCACTTCACTTTGCCTGCACGATTCTACGGAAATAGATGCTTAAAACCAAACTTTGGAACATTCTCTATTGCGGGGGTCATCAAACTAAGACCCTTGGGCAGACTTCAGCCTTCCACGCCGCTTTGACCAGCCCCCCAGCCCCTCTGCCCCCCACCGCTTGAGCTGGCCCTATTTGGCAATCCTCAAAAGTCATGGCCTATTAATTTTTATGGCCTATTACTTTTTGGCAAATGATAACACGTCTGCATCTTGTATTTAGTTGTTTGTTTTTTTCAATTAAAAAAAGATATTTATATGAAGTATTTATATTTAAATAATTATATGACGTATTTACATTTGCCATCGAATTTGCGCTTGAATTTTTGTTACGTGACAAGTTCGAGATCTAACAGTGACGTCAACGCATGCCCAGAGTTCTGTAGTGCAGTTAAGGACAGTAAAATGGCGAGTGTTTAAAGTGCGAAAAGTTGGCTGCGTTCAGACTGCAGCCTGAAGTGACCCAAATCCGATGTTTTGGCTTCTATGTGACCTGTATCTGATCTTTTAATGACAGTCTGAACGACACAGATCCGATTTTTTCAAATGCGACCCAGGCCACTTGGATATGTGCTCCTGAAACCGATACATATCTGATCTTTTCACATGCGACTTCAGTGTGAATGGTCCAAAGCGCATTCATTCCACCTACACTTATCAACAAGCCACAAACGTCACTATTCTGCGCTGAAGTAGGCGAAAATTGTTAATGAACTCCGTGTCACTGAAGTGAAGCACATCACCACTCACCACTCTTGGCTACGTCTCCACATCCACACGTTCCTTTCAACGGACGTCGCTGCCGCTGCCCCACAAAACACCACGGCCAAAAACCTCGTCCTTCTCCTTCTCAATTCCCTCCTTAAAACAAGTAAGTTGTTCATGTTCTGGCTCCGGTACGAGAGGAACTTTAAAATCTCCAGGTGCTCAATGCTGCGTCCATGTTTGGACAACTTCCGTAAACACAGAGCACGCTCGCTGCGGTTGACGCCATCGTGTCTCCAGTGCACATGCGGGACACTTTTGGGCCTTTTACTGTTCACACAGCAGATCGAATACAAGTCGCATTTAATTGGAAATGTGAATGACCTCTCAAAAACATCGGATTTCACAAAAAAATCGGAATTGAGCGTTAAGCCCTGCAGTCTGAACGTAGCCGTTGAGAGAGAGAGTGTTGAGTTTTCAAAGAACATTGGACAACCGATTATTTTTTTGTTCAGTGTAAGGACCGTGCAGTTTGTCTGATATGTAAAGAAAGTGTGGCGGTTTTCCAAGAATATAATCTGCGTTGTCACTACGAAACCCGCCACAAAACGTACAGCAACTTGTGAGGGCAGATGAGAGATGTTAGGATTCGGCGGATGAAAGGCGTTCTGGCCGCTCAACATCTTGTATTCTGTCGCTGGCTGACCTGACCCCGGCCCCTCATCACAATCAGGAGCGATAATGTGGCCCACAGAGAAAAAAAAGCTCAGTGACCCCTGCTCTACGGAGATAGATTACGCCATACTGTGTAATATTCTTGATACTTTGCAGTTCTACCTGTTTGCCTATGACCGAATGTTCAGCAGTTACCATGGAGACACAACACACACATTCGCAAACACAAATACAAAATGGATTTAAACAGACGGCACATTTTCAGGAACCTGTGATTCATGAAACAAAACAACCCCCGGTCTGTTTGTGATGAGAAAACAAAACTATAACATAGATCAGAAAATATCGTAATACTGGCCCTTTAAAGGTCCTTTATGTAACTTTTCTGACCATCTGCTCGTCACCATGAAGATGTTATCCATGGGTTTCAGCTTCCTGTTCTAAGATTTGTTTGAAAAGTCAAGAAAAAATACAACATGGATTTAAACGGCGCATTTCCAGAAGCCTGTGATTCATACGAGCGTTCATGGTCATATTTAGTAGACCTTCAACAAAAAAGTGAGAGTGACTAACTGGAAAACTGTTGGCAAATGCTCGCTCGCTTGTGACTGTAGTTTTATGTGTGAGCGACCGAAACAAACCTGTTTTAGTTCAAGATAAGTCAGTTCTTTCTGGTCAGATTGTGTTAAAACAGAGCCCAGATTAAAGGGACAGTCCAGAGTTTTGGACATGAGATGTGATTTCTTCGTGAGCCAGAGTGTTGGAGACGTGTGGAGACACTTTTTAAAATATTCCATCCAGTCTTTGTATTTGCAGAGGTCGCTGGTGCTAGGCTAGTGCATGTCTATGGCCATAGTTAGCCTGCCACTAAAAACAGTCTTACCCACTCCACAAAACACCCGAAGCAAATCTATTATTACGCCAGACTGTTGATGAAAATGTCTGTGTGGATAGAATAATGTTTGAAATGAAACTAACCTTGCATCGCATGAATCGCCGCATGTAGAGGGACTATTTTCTCATATATCAATCCGCCGCTGCTGAGCTTTCTATCAGGAAGTACAACACGCTGCTGCTGCTCAGACATAAATCCATCAAATGCAAGCTTGTTTTTTACTTCTAAAATTATTCTATCGACACATACATTTACATCAACAGTCTGGTGTAATAATAGATTTACTTTGGACTGTTTTTAGTGGCAGGCTAACTATGGCCATAGACATGCACTAGCCTAGCAGCAGCGACCTCTGCAAATACATGGACTGGATGGAATATTTTAAAAAGCGTCTCCGCACGTGTCCAACACTCTGGCTCACTAGGAAATTAGGCCCTATGTCCAAACTTCCAGACTGTCCCTTTAAATTTTAACTCGAGTAACCGCTTCAGACAGAGCAGTGCCTACAGTTAGCAGACGTTGACGACATCCGCTGCAAATATCAACAGCCAAAACAAAAGCTAGAACTAAATTTCCATGGAGACAAACCTCGGGGCCAAATAATAACTTTGTTCTTTATTTTAAAAGTTACCCTCAGATACGACAAGGATGAGACTAAAATATAAAAAAATAAATAAATAAAACGTATGAGCTCGTGTCTCTTTTGTCCGGGCCCGATCGATAACGTTGATGTATGGTCGTGTAGCCGTGTTGAAACATCAGTGCTTCTTGTGCCTGTGCCTGTAGGAGACCGTGACTGGCAGCACTCTGAACGGGAGGAAGGAGTATTTAAACGCACACGAAGGCGACAAGGACAAATGGGACTTCCTGAACTTCGCCAGCGCCTGGACCCCGAGCGAGATGGTGCTGCCCCCCGGGGGAGACTCCAAGAATGTCAGCGAGGATGTGTTTTTCACTCATGTAAGTTTGATCGACTGCTACTGTCAAGAAAGAAGGAAAAATATATATATATGAAGGGGGGAAGGAGGAGGGGGAAGGGTGAAAAATGTCCCAGTCACTATTGTGCAGTTGAGTTGTGGGTTGCCATGTATTGTGAAAGAGACAAATGCTTTTCTATGGGAGTTTATTTTTATGGACCTTTTCGCTGGAAGTGACGCGTTCAAATAATATGCTAGGGACACAATGGAAAATGGATATAGATGGTGGTTTTCCATTCGTATTTTCCATTTTACGAGCAACAGAATCTATTCGGAATCTGTCATTAAAGGTCCTGTATTATGCAAAGTTGACTTTTTGGAGGTTTAAGTCGTGTTAGAATGGTGTTAACTCGTCAGAACTTATCTGGAGCTGTGTTTTGTTTCATTCACACATGTTTGAGGAAATCTTTATTATTAGTCTGTCTACATCTCCAAATTTATATGATGACGGTGTGGTTTTTTTTGGAAGGTTCAATGCGTGTCCTAAAAAGAAGCACAGGAGATGGAGAATCCGAGAGAACAGGCCACTTTATTTCAGCATTTCCATTGAGAGATTCAAGTTGAATACCAAGTACAACTGCCACCCCGGAACGACGTCTCTGACCAACTCGAAATCAGGGGTAGCTTTATACTACATCTTGACAAAACATTAACTTGTTGATTTAGCATATACAGCAAGAAAATGAACAATACTGCTGAGCCAGTGCACCTTATCATGGGTGGGAACATGCCACGGGGTCCACATATGTCAGTTTTTCTGCTTCGTGGCATCTCAAAGTCCAGAAAAACATGTTCTTTATGGCACTCAAAGTACAGAAAAAACATGTTCTATAGACCTATAGATAGTCATACGTGTTTTCCACCCTGTTGTCATTCCAAAGTCCATAATATTAGGTGAATTAGCATGACCAACACATAATATTTCGCAGAACGGTTTGAACAGAAGATGCAAAAGTGGCGTTGCATCGTCACTTTTTATTCTGCGTTTAGACAAATGTTTTCGGGGAGGAAATCTGCGTGCATACGGTGACGCAAAAGTGTGTGGAATTGGATTGTGTATGCACGCCAGGTTTCTGTGTACTGTATGTATGTGATGTAAACATGTACGTGACGTGAGCAGATCTGAGTTTTGCTTCTTGGGCAGTGTAGACGGAAACGCTAGGGCAGAGCGTATTCAACTTTTCCACTCTGGAGGGTGGTTTCAGATTTTTGCGTTTTTAAGCCCCAAAAACACTGTCACCGTATAAACGAAAGGCACTTCAGATAAAATATTTTGTTGTTTTTACCCGCAAAGGTTCTCGTGTAAACAGGCCCCAAGTTAACAACTATCTTTTATCTTTAGTTCAGTACAGATTGTAAATTCCAGAGTTGGAATCATCCAGATGATTCTAGTGAAGGTGCATGGAGTTTAAAAACACAGTGGAGCACTTCATGTATTGCCACATGACATCACAAGGTGTTTTCTAATATGCAGGATTTGTGTGTTAAACATGTGTGAATGAAACAAAACACAACTCCAGGTCTGTTGAGGTGTGATGAGGAAACAACATTATAACATAGATCAGAAAATAGAGTAATATGTGCCCTTTAAAGGTCCACTGTGTAACTTTTCTGGCCATCTGCTTGCCACCATGAAGACGGCAGCCTGGGGTTTCAGCCATGGATCTATTAAAATAACTGGATAGTGATTCCTACTTTGTATTTGAGTCTGGTCCCTACCCTGAAGCGCTCCAAAAGGACAATTCTGCACAATTTCTGTATATCCAAGTAGCACTCCTGCCCCCGAAGTTTTGCAGAACTGGACAGGCTGTTGCTGCTTGTAGCTCCAGGTGACATCAGTGGTCACTCGCTGGAACTTCAATGAAAAAATCGCGACGTAATCACAAACTGCTCGTGTTCGTCTGAGAGGGCACCTGCAGTTTTCAAAAATGTCGGACTATGTGACGATTTTTTTTCTCAGCTCAAAATCCTTCACTTGTCTTAAAAAACGCTTTATGATCATTCGCTCTGGCTCCGCTCTAGCTCCTCTCGCTCTGATTGGTCAAAGCGATCACATGCTACACGAGCCAGCGCTTCGTACGTGCATTCCCCATGTGCCCGCGGGAAAAAAAAACACTACTGCACACGCTCAATCGACCCTTTGACTTGAATGGATTCTGTGGCACCATTTTGTGGACGACTGACGATTCAAAGGATCATTTTGTTTTCAATTTGTTCATTCCTAACTTTTCATCATTTCTGAATCCATAGCTTTGTCACTGTATTGACTTAAACTTATCTATCTTGCATTTATTTAACTACACAATACCTTGAAAAACATTTATTACATTCTTTGCATGTGTTCGTAAACCTGGTGGTATCATTGGAACAGTTTACAGGTCAGATCTGTGGAGAGGTAACCCCGCCCACAGTAAGAATACACGTTTATGAAGGTATTTTTAAGCAAAATAAACACTTGTAACTGAATACGGGCACACAAAGCAATAACATCTCCACGGAGACGAGCAGGCGGCGCATAGATAAAAAAAAATAAACATGACAATAAAAACGACATTTGAATTTGAGATTTGAAACGGCGTTAGAGAAATCGCCCGTTCTCCCACACGTTCGGAAATGACAAATACTTTTCTTTATTGCAACCAAAATGTAGATTAGATCGTGTGGATCTGAACAAAGCTAAACCTGATCCGAGTATGTGAATTATTGCGAAATTGAAAAGTGGATTCTGGTAGCCATGGTAACGTGAACCAGTCATTATTTCACAGCGGGTTCTTCCTTCCCATTTCATACGTATAATTCGAAGGTTTTGTGTCAGGCTCAGCTTTGAAGTTGCACTGTGGAACTTTCTGGTTGAGGGTCCGTCTTGTGCTGCTGTTTGTTTCTATGGAGATAATGTCTGGGATGTTCCACAGTGTGACTTTAAACAGCTCTACCATACATTTATTCAATTACAGGTGGTTTTATAGCTCAAAAATACCTAGAAAAACGAGTATTTCATCAAATCGAAAGCCAAAAAACGTGACGCTTTTTTGCATTTTTTTCATTTCACAGTTTGAGAAAAATAAACAACACGACATCCGAACCTTCTTCTCGCCAAACGCCGGCAACGAAAAGAAAAGAAAGCGCCTCGAAAACGAGTCTACGCCCCAATCCGACGAAACATCTCCTGTCGTCGAAGCGAATTTCGACTTAGAGGAAAGCGTCTCAACACCAGAAGATGATTTTACTCCGCAGCAGAAGAGGATGAAGACTCCCCAAGCTACTCCGAGCCCCCTGTCTCGATTCGGGGCGAAAAGGAGAGCGACTATCGGAGGAACCGGCGCTAGAAATCCTAAAATGTCCATCCTGGCTCCTCGCAGATTGACAGCGAGTGGGAGTTTGGGAAAAACGTGGAATTGTCAAGCTTGTACTTACTGCAATAGTGGACTGCTGCCGTACTGTGAGATGTGTGAAGCTCCGAGGCCCACAGGTAAGAATACACTCTCTATTCTCATTTTATAACTTATACTTGTATATATGTGCTTTATTTTATTATTTTATTTTAGTAGAATAGTTTTTATCTAAGAATTCACTGTGCTTGTTTTGAGAAAATCACTACAATTTGACTGAAATCTAATTATTAAATAAACTAAACTAAACAAAAAAAAATCACTCTACCTACTAGGGGCGTGCAAAAATACTGAAATATTGATCTATCGTATCGTTTAATGTGATGATACAGTATCGATATCATGTGCTGCTGTATCGATATATCGCCAAGAGTATTTTTTGGTATATTTTATTAATTATTTTGTCACAGCGCTACAGTTTTGTTGCTTGTTTAGAGAAAGAAAAGTTGTTTATGTGACACACTTTGCGGTGCTTTTGCAGTAGTTTAACAAAGACTTGTAGAATCACAGTCTTGATTTAGACATTGTTTTTATTGAACCGCATCGAATCAATTTGAAATATATCGTATCGAATCAAAAGTGCACTGTATCAAGATATGTATCATATAATGGCCTATGTATTGAGGTACGTATCCTATCGTGGCCGATGTATCGTATCGTGGCCTATGTATCGATCGTATCGTGGCCTATGTATCGTAGTGTGGCCTATGTATCGAGATAAGTATCGTATCGTGGCCTATGTATCGTATCGTGGCCTATGTATCGTATCGTGGCCTGTTTATTGAGGTATGTATCCTATCGTGGCCTATGTATCGTATCGTGGCCTATGTATCGTATCGTGGCCTATGTATCGTATCGTGGCCTATGTATCGTATCGTGGCCTATGTATCGTATCGTATCGTATCGGGCCTATGTATCGTATCGTGGCCTATGTATCGTATCGTGGCCTATGTATCGTATCGTGGCCTATGTATCGTATCGTGGCCTATGTATCGTAGTGTGGCCTATGTATCGAGATAAGTATCGTATCGTGGCCTATGTATCGTATCGTGGCCTATGTATCGTATCGTGGCCTGTTTATTGAGGTATGTATCCTATCGTGGCCTATGTATCGTAGTGTGGCCTATGTATAGTATCGTGGCCTATGTATAGTATCGTGGCCTATGTATAGTATCGTGGCCTATGTATAGTATCGTGGCCTATGTATAGTATCGTGGCCTATGTATCGTGGCCTATGTATAGTATCGTGGCCTATGTATAGTATCGTGGCCTATGTATCGTATCGTGGCCTATGTATCGTATTGTGGCCTATGTATCGTATCGTGGCCTGTGTATCGTATCGTGGCCTATGTATCGTAGTGTGGCCTATGTATCGAGATAAGTATCGTATCATGGCCTATGTATTGTAGTGTGGCCTATGTATCGTATCGTGGCCTATGTATCGTATCGTGGCCTATGTATCGTAGTGTGGCCTATGTATCGAGATAAGTATCGTATCATGGCCTATGTATCGTATCGTGGCCTATGTATCGTATCGTGGCCTGTTTATTGAGGTATGTATCCTATCGTGGCCTATGTATCGTAGTGTGGCCTATGTATAGTATCGTGGCCTATGTATCGTATCGTGGCCTATGTATCGTATCATGGCCTATGTATCGTATCGTGGCCTATGTATAGTATCGTGGCCTATGTATAGTATCGTGGCCTATGTATCGTATATGTGGCCTATGTATCGTATCGTGGCCTATGTATCGTATCGTGGCCTATGTATCGTATCGTGGCCTGTGTATCGTATCGTGGCCTATGTATCGTAGTGTGGCCTATGTATCGAGATAAGTATTGTATCGTGGCCTATGTATCGTAGTGTGGCCTATGTATCAAGATAAGTATCGTATCGTGGCCTATGTATTGTATCGTGCCCTATGTATCATAGTGTGGCCTATGTATCGTAGTGTGGCCTATGTATCGAGATAAGTATCGTATCGTGGCCTATGTATCATATCGTGGCCTATGTATCGTAGTGTGGCCTATGTATCGTATCGTGGCCTATGTATCGTATCGTGGCCTATGTATCGTAGTGTGGCCTATGTATCGAGATAAGTATCGTATCGTGGCCTATGTATCGTATCATGGCCTATGTATCGTAGTGTGGCCTATGTATCGTATCGTGGCCTATGTATCGTATCGTGGCCTATGTATCGTAGTGTGGCCTATGTATCGAGATAAGTATCGTATCGTGGCCTATGTATCGAGATAAGTATCGTATCGTGGCCTATGTATCGTGTCCTATGTATCGTATCGTGGCCTATGTATCGTATCGTGGCCTATGTATCGTATCGTGGCCTATGTATCGTATCGTGGCCTATGTATCGAGATAAGTATCGTATCGGCTTATACTTCTTAATGATACCCCGCCCTAGTAGAGATATTGATTGATGTAGAAGTCATTGCTTTACCTAAAATATTCCAAAATACGGCACTGAACTTTTCGATCTCCATGGAAACGAGCCGGAGACGCCACCAGGCCAGTTCACAGGTGAGATCTGCGGAGAGGGCGACCCCACTCACAGTCAGAATACAGGTTTCTCGAGCGCCCGTCATCGAACAAACGCGTCTCACGTGAAGTTTGACGCCGCACCGTGACCCGGAAAGTTCCGCAGTGCGCCTTTAAGCTGCCCCAGTTTCACCTGCGCCCCGTTCGTACGTAACCGACATAAACACGTCTTTATTCTCTCACTCCGTCGTCTTTTTCCTTGGCCTTTCTTTTCTCCTGCCGTGGATGCGAGCGCGTGCTGTGTGTCGACATCGTACTTCAGAGCAGATTCAAGCAGATGGAGTGGGCTGAAGGAGAGAGAGAGAGAGAGAGACGGAGAGACGGAGAGACGGAGAGATGGAGAGATGGAGAGACGGAGGAGGAGGAGGAGGGAGAAGAGCTACAGTCTATAACAGCAATTCACTGCCCCCACTTTTCTCTAGGTTATGTCTGTGTCTCTGTGCTTCTGTCGCTCTCCGTCTCTCCGTCCTTCTCTCTTCTCTCTCTCTCTCTCTTTCTTTTTTCATTCTGTCCTTTTTCGCTCTCTTTTTTCCTCTGTCTGCCGTCATCCTTTCTCTCTTCTCTCTATCTACCAATTCTCTCTCTCCTCTCTTTCTCTCTCCCTGTCTCCTTTTTTGTCTACTTTCTCTTCTCCTTTTTACTCTCCTCCTTTCTTTCTTTTTCCCTTCCTCTTTTAATACCTCCTTTCTCTCTTCTCTCTCTCTCTCTTTCTTTTTCATTCTGTCCTTTTTCGCTCTCTTTTTTTCTTTATCCTCCTTTATCTCTTTCCTCTTTTCTCTACTCCCACTCTCTTTCCCTCTTTTCTCTATCTATTTCTCGCTCCTCTTTCTCTCCCTCTCTCTCTCTCTCTTCTTCTTTGTCTCCCTCTTTTCGCTCTCTTTTTTTCTCTGTCTGCCGTCATCCTTTCTCTCTTCTCTCTATCTACCAATTCTCTCTCTCCTCTCTTTCTCTCTCCCTGTCTCCTTTCTGTCTACTTTCTCTTCTCCTTTTACTCTCCTCCTTTCTTTCTTTTTCCCTTCCTCTTTTAATATCTCCTTTCTCTCTTCTCTCTCTCTCTCTTTCTTTTTTCATTCTGTCCTTTTTCTCTCTTTTTTCTTTATCCTCCTTTATCTCTTTCTCTCTTTTCTCTATCTATTTCTCGCTCCTCTTTCTCTCCCTCTCTCTCTCTCTCTTCTTCTTTGTCTCCCTCTTTTCGCTCTCTTTTTTTCTTTGTCTGCCGTCATCTTTTCTCTCTTCTCTCTATCTACCAATTCTCTCTCTCTCTCTTTCTTTTTTCATTCCGTCCTTTTTCGCTCTCTTTTTTTCTTTATCCTCCTTTATCTCTTTCCTCTTTTCTCTACTCCCACTCTCTTTCTCTCTTTCTCCTATCTATTTCTCTCCCTCTCTCTCTCTTCTTCTTCTTTGTCTCCCTCTTTTCGCTCTCTTTTTTCTCTGTCTGCCGTCATCCTTTCTCTCTTCTCTCTATCTACCAATTCTCTCTCTCCTCTCTTTCTCCCTCCCTGTCTCCTTTCTGTCTACTTTTCTCTCTCCTTTTTACTCTCCTCCTTTCTTTCTTTTTCCCTTCCTCTTTTAATATCTCCTTTCTCTCTTCTCTCTCTTTCTTTTTTTCATTCTGTCCTTTTTCGCTCTCTTTTTTTCTTTATCCTCCTTTATCTCTTTCTCTTTTCTCTCTCCCACTCTCTTTCTCTTTTCTCTATCTATTTCTCGCTCCTCTTTCTCTCCCTCCTCTCTCTCTCTTCTTCTTTGTCTCCCTCTTTTCGCTCTCTTTTTTCCTCTGTCTGCCGTCATCCTTTCTCTCTTCTCTCTATCTACCAATTCTCTCTCTCCCTCCCTTCCTATGTCCTTTTGTCTACTTTCTCTTCTCCTTTTACTCTCCTCCTTTCTTTCTTTTCCCTTCCTCTTTTAATATCTTCTTTCTCTCTTCTCTCTCTCTCTCTTTCTTTTTTCATTCCGTCCTTTTTCGCTCTCTTTTTTTCTCTATCCTCCTTTTCTCTTTCTCTCTTTTCTCTATCTATTTTCTCGCTCCTCTTTCTCTCCTCTCTCTCTCTCTTTCTTCTTTGTCTCCCTCTTTTCGCTCTCTTTTTTTCTTCTGTCTGCCGTCATCCTTTCTCTCTTCTCTCTATCTACCAATTCTCTTCTCTCCTCTCTTTCTCTCTCCCTATCTCCTTTCTGTCTACTTTTTTCTCCTCTACCCCCTACTCTCTCTCTCTCCTTCTCTTATCCCTCCATCTTTTCTTCTTTTCTCTTTCTCTCTCTCCTTTCTTTTGCCGTAGCTTCCTCTCTCTTTTCTCTCTGTATTTCTGCCTCCCTCTCCCAACTCTCCATCCATCAGTCCTCTCTTCTCTTTCTTTCTCTCTCCCTCCATCCATCCATCCATCCATATCTCCTTTCTGTCTTCTTTCTCTCTCTCTCCTCCTTTTACTCTCTTCCAGCCCTACTCTCTCTCTCCTTCTATTATCTCTCCTTCTTCTGTCTTTTTCTCTCCCTTTTCTTTTACCATAGCTTTCTCTCTTTCTTTTTTCTCTC